TGTTTTGATGTGTTGGTTTGGAGGTATGTTGTGGTTGGCTTGTTTGGGGCTGTGGCTGATTGATGGGTCTGTGACTGTGACATATCTGATCACGGGTTCAGGTGTTTCAGCAGGTGTTCACCTTTCAGACTGCAGATAATAATGATTACTGTGATTCTCCATCAACCTGCTGATTATTTCTCCTTCCACTGATTCATTGTTTTGTTGTACATACATTTCATACTTCCCAGAATACAAAGTGAGCCAACACAATCAGCAGATTCTCACAGTTGAAATGCTGGACAATGAAGAAGTAGTACAAACTGAAGAGAACAACAGCAGATCAATCGACTGGTCGCTTTAGCTCCAGTTGTATTTACTGCTGAACACGTTCATTTATTACAAAGCTGCATGTTTATCAGTTTAATTTTGTGAAGTACTCAGTCACTGCAGATAAACGCAGTAAACTGTTTAATATTTCCTCTGAAACTGTGGCGGAGTGCAGCTATCATATACTGTACTTCAGTACTGGAGTAAACGTTCTCAGATAACTGATGTTTGAACTGGCAGACAGTGGTGCTAAAGAAGAAGCTCATCAGAATCCTGTTCAAACATCCAAATTCTCAGTTTCTACTTCAACTCTGTAAACCTGAGAACATTCAGCCTGATGTCTGCTTGCTGCTGTGGTTAACGTCAGCAGAATCAGAGTATGACTGTCTTCATGTTCACCCTGAAACACGCTGTGGGCCACAGAAGGTTAGATCTGGAGCTGATGGGGGCTGGAAGGACGTGAACATGCAGATGTTTCAGAACATGCTGCAGCTTTGTGTGTTTCATGTTTTCTTGGTGTCTCAGTGGAAACTCTGCTCTTATCTTTATGATCGGACTGTAAATCCTTCCGGCCGGTGAGCCTGCATGCCTCAGTGTGGATGATGGAGCTGTTTACAGCGTCCTGCCTCATCAGGCTCCGATCTGCTCTCAGCAGTTCACAACCAAAACCCACAGCTTGAACATGAACTCTGTCCTGTGGCTGCTTTTCTCCACTTAGTTCTGAGAACGTTCTCCTGTGAAGGGCTTCACCGTCCGTTTAAACTGGACATACTAAGAGAAGCTCCTTCATGTATTCATTTGCACTGAAATGTGGACATTAATACGTTATCATTAAAATAGTTTGCACTGAATGTTTTTGTTTAAGATCAATTTCCTACGCTTTAAAACCAGGGGGCGCTGCACTGAGAGAACAGAAAAGATCATCATCATCAGACAGCTGTGGACTGGACTGCCAGTCATCATGCTAAGCTAATGCAGCTCTCTGATCATGC